GGGTACAGAGGAACTTGGTCTTATTAAAATTGATTATAAATCTTGAGTTCAATAATTAAGTTTTGAAAACCCTGCAAACCATAGTGTCCCAACCCTGGCTTAAGTGATTTGGTCACTGCCTACTTTCCCAACTTACTTCAGCTACCTCATTTCCTTCTCTCACTAAGCTTCAGCCACATGGCCTCCTCTGTCCCGTGGACAGGCCAACACTGTTCTTCCCTAAGAACTTTCACCCTTACTGTTCTTTCTTGGATAACTCCTTCCATTTGTATTCACCCAGGCAATCTCTACCCTTTCACTCCATCTCCATTTGTTTTGTTTTTAAAGATTTACTTATGCATACAAGAACAGAGGCATAAGCCATAAGTGGGGGTTGAGAGGATTCACCAGAGTCAGAGCGGGGAGCAGAACAGGCAGATCTACTGAAATACACTGTTGAGGGGAGCAGCTGGCAAGACAGGAGAGGTCTGCTGCGCCATGTGGGTCAGCTCCCAGGCCAGGGATCGAACCCCTGCTGCAATGACTGGCGATTGCTTGATAACACTGAGCCTTTAACCCCTGTGCCACCAGAGAGGGTCCCCCATTTGTTTTTTATCAATTTTTTTCCTTCATTACATATTTTAGCTCTGAAATAATAATGTTACTTGTTTGTGTGTTTATCCCTTGTCTCCTCTCTAGAATGTAAGCTCCATAAAAACAGGTGCTTGCATTTTACATGGGTGGAGCGGGGAATGGGATCAAACACAGTGGGGGAGGGAAGTGCACTGGGCTATGGTAATGGCACAGGGGTGATTTGGTGATGGGAAGCCCACGGGGATTACAACTGAGATGGAAAAGAGCACAAAATGATGTACAAATAAACTATTATATTATTTTAAAAAATAAAAACAAAAGCAGGTGCTTGACCTGTTCACTGTGCATCCGGTCACCAGTCACTAGTTGGCTCTGAGTACAGGCCCTGTGTGGAGCAGGGATGATGCAGGCTCAGATCCAAGTCGCTGCAATGAAGCAAAGCTCGCAAAAAGCAAGTCACAAAAATGTTGGGTTTCCGGTGCCTATAAAAGTGATGTTTATATGCTACTGTAGTCAGCAAAGTGCAGCAGCTTTACATCCAGAAACCACTGTGCATACCTTACGGGAATGTCACAGAGACCCCGTAGGAGCACAGGTGGTTGGACAAGGGCCTGGTGCAGGGTCGCCGCAGACCCTCCACCTGCAAAAAGTGCAGCATCTGCAAAGTACACCCAAGGAAGAACAGTGAAACGGGGCATCTGTGGAGCTTTGATAAGCAATGTTAAAGGACCCAGTGATGGCTTCTATGGGCGAGACGTTAAAAAGAAGTTAATAGGGTTAGTTAATTTTCTTCAGGGGATTTGAGTTCATTAACTGTTTTCCTTCACCCACTTGTGTTACAGCGAGTTCCTGTCATGTGCTGGGTTCTGAGACAGGTCTTGGTGTGTTTTCTCCTGGAGTCTCTAGAAATGTCTTCGTGGGTGATAGGCCCATTTCCATTTTCCAAATGAGGAAACTGAGGTTCTCTCTGAGGAGAAGGCTTCCCTATAGAACAGGTGTCACAACACCTGTCTGGAATGCAGACCTGACTTCAGTCCCCATATTTTTGCCCCCCAAGCCCCCTCCCGGACTGAAAGAAAGGAAATCGAGACTCCATGAGTTTCTAGAACATGCCAAAGGTCACAAGCCAGTGAGTGTGGTACCTGGGCAGAAGATGGGGGTCTTCGCCTTTCAGGTGACCAGGAAGTCTCCCTATTGTCCAGTGACCTGGACTCCCTCTAAGATTTCCCTGGCCAAGACCTGCCTACTCCCCCAGTCTTATATTTGCTGTTTTTATTTTCTCCCTCCTTCGTGTTTGCTCTGTAACTGTTCTTTCTCTGACACACGTGTATATTTCTTACTTCTCAAACTAGGTCGTTCTCCCCTTAAAAACGCCTGCAACAGCAACTACCATTTGCTGAGCCCTGTGCTAAGCACTTGATCCATTTACCACCTGATTAGTTATCCCTGCCTAAGAAATGAGCTCCGAGTGCAATGACATGAAAACAAAAAGCATGAGGGTCAGACCTTCTGGTGTGGCTGAGCTGTGTTGTCATCAAGATGTTCTCAGTCATCATCTGGACTGGGTGCTCTGGAGCCAGGAGTTTCATCTCCAGGCTCATGCATGTGCTGTTGTAGGCTCAGCCTCGCTGGCTGTTGGCCAGAGGTTTCTGTTCCTTGCCTCCTGGGAATCTCCACAGGCTTCTCACAACACAGAGCAAGTGACAGGAGACAGCGAGACCCCTCAGGCTCCACCCCCTAGTGTGGGAAGCCACACACCATTACTTCTGCCACAGGCTGCGGTGACGTGGCGCAACGTGGGCGGAGAATACACAGGGTGTCAACACGCGGAAATGGCGGGGACAGTGCAAGCATCTCTGAGGCTGGGTGCCACACCACCTGCTGCTCCCAGTCATCAGACCCACAGGACTGGGGTTAGCTCGGCCATCAAAGGTTGAAGAGCTCTAGGCTTATCAGTGAACTTGTCCTCTCTGTCTGAGAGCCTAATGTGGGCTCTCAGAGTGATGAGTCACCTCCAATTTATCAAGCGCCCCCTCTTTCTCCTTGATGATTCAGGTTCCTAAGCATAGGCTAGGAACCCCATTATTCCTGAGAGTGCACAACCTTATAAAGTCTCCTCACAGATGTTATGTTGGCCATTTATCCTAATCCTATGAATGTGTTTATCAGATTAACCCAGAAGGGGTGGAGGGATTTTCTTTTGCACCCCAATACGTAACTTTCTGAAGTTGGGGCCAGTAGACTAGCTATGTTGTGGGAAGCTGTTATCAGTGTACGATACTAGCCGGCAGCTTTGCTATATGTGTTATAAGGACTCAGGCAATGTGTTTCGATGGTGCCTGGACACCTGCTCACTTGCAGAACAAAAGTGGTAAAGAGTGAGCAGCAGATGGCAAGAACTTCAAGTAATACCTGGCCCAGGTACACCCTGCTCCCTGCTGAAGTCAGTCATCCTTTCTGGTACTAGTCTCTGAGTTTTTGCAGACAGACAGGCAGACTCAGCCCCCAGGATGAGCAGATTAAACAAATGACCCCATGACCTGGTGCCACCCTGTCTGACATTGAATGTTCAGGAATCCCTCTGAGCTTGTATTAATATGTACAGCACTTCACTCACATGGAAAATTGATTTTTCTTTTTAAGCACAAAATGTAGCCAGTTTTATAACCTTTCTGCAGCTTGACAAAGGCCATTTATAACCCACGTTCTCCATCACCCTTCCTGGCACTGGTCTCAAATGTTGAAGAACTAGCTCATGCATTTGTAATTATGAATTCTTCTTAGGCAAAATTTCATTTCCAAGAGGGGTGACCTTTTTGGGGGTATGGTACCTTTTGCAAATTAATTTTTGCGTGTGTGTATTGTTACTGATGTTGTTCAGGGTGATGACTTGGAGAGGGGGCTGGGGAGCCAGGCGGGAACAGGGATGACACAGCAGGGGGCATTTTAATCAGTGGTGTCCAGTGATGGATGAGGAGGGCTGGGCGCTGGGTGTTCATCTCAGTGGACAGGAGGTACCAGCAGAATGGCTGAAATGAAACCTAGGATCTTATTTTCTCTCCTGAATTTGAATGGAAACCCCTTCTCCACCTGTTGAACTGGAGAAGATGAGCTCAATCTCATCAAATGATAGAAAAGACACTTAAATTTTCAGTTGCCCCAATAGTGCACGCGCTTCCACGCAAAGCACTCAGGTGCCAAGCAGCCTGGGAGGTTGGCACCGTGGGGGTGTTTAAGGAGCCAGAGGACAGCCTCAGTGGCAGGTAACTTCAGAAGGAGGAAGCACATGTGACAGGGTGGAGAGTTTGAAGTCAGCCCAAGGAAGATTCAAGTCATTGGCATTTACAACACATTTATTTTTTTCTGATATGGAGAATGATGATTTGGAATGACCTGTCTGGTGGCCATTAGGAGGGAGGCATATGGAAGACCAGACAGAAGAGTAAACTGCTTAGGGGGTCTTTTCAGGCTCCCCTTATGTAAGGGAAAATTCACCTGGGACTGTGGCACAGGGGTGCTGAGCTGAAGACAGAGTCAAGGAAGGAAGAGAACTCAGTTGGTGGAGTTTCACACCAGCCCCTGAAGTAAGCTATAGACACCCATGAGCCAATTCATGTTTTATGACAAACACATGGGTGAGTGGCTGTGCCCACTTCACAGATATAAAATGGCGAGGCTCAGAGAGGAAAATAAGTGTGCCCCTGATCACACAATGAGAGGGCAAGAAATGGAATTTAAACTTTTTTTAAAAATATTTATTGATTGATACATACAGAGCTGGGGTATAGGCCAGTGATGCAGGACTGGTGAGAGGATCTACCAGAGAGAGTGGGGAGCAGAACAGGCAGATCGACGAAGCACACTGCTGAGGGGAGCAGCGGGCGGGTCAGGAGAGGTCTGCCGCGCCATGTGGGTCATATCCCTGGTTAAGAATCGAACTCGCAGTGAAGTGGCTGCGGCAAGCTTCAAGGTGCTGTGCTTTAAGCCATTGCACCACGAGGGAGGGCCCAAGAAATGGAATTTAAACTCTTATTGACAAGAGTACTTTAATGCTATGTCACTGCCTCCCTAAGTGGCCTTTAGAGCGGCAGGGCCTTAGGAAATTACAATACGCGCGAACACATGCTTCTGATCCAACACTGTGGACAGTAAGGGCAGCTACCACCTGCCATGGGGCTGCCCTCTGCGTTACCTCCCCTCGTTCTCACAACTGCACAAGCAGACCCATCTTCCAGGTGGGCACCTTGGGCTTCAGAGAGCTCAAGGCACTCGTCCAAGGTCACACAGCTATCAGAAGCCAAACGAGGCTTCTCAACCTGTGTGCATGCTACCGGGCACAGGTCCCTTTCCAGAAGGTGGGAGGTGAGGACGTGGGAGCCATCGAGCACCTCCCCGGGCATAACCACCCATGCTTTCTGTCCAAGCAGTGCCCCGACGACCTGCGGCCCATGAAAGACGGCTCCGGCTGCTACGACCACTCCAAAGGCATCGACTGCTCAGACGGCTTCAACGGGGGCTGCGAGCAGCTGTGTTTGCAGCAGACCCTGCCTTTGCCCGATGACGCCACCTCCAGCACCATCTTCATGTTCTGCGGGTGAGTCTGTCCTGAGGCTCAGACACTACTCAGAGCAGTGGGGTCAGGGGTGAAGAAAAAAGGTCAGGAGCTAAGGTCTGGCCAACCTGGTCCTGACATTCAACCACATGACCTTTCTGCTTCTGTTTTTTCAGCCCAGAAGGTAAAAAAGAAAGAGAGAGAGAGAGGCAGAAGTATAACCTTTGTTGGGTGAAGAAAAATAAATAACTGGGGAATAATTGTGGTAAGCGGAGTCCATGCTCCGGCTGCATCCTAGGTAGGGGCTTTTTCTTCTACTGAAGTTCCTGCCCCATTTTCATCTCCTTTCCCATTGGCATCCCCTTCCCCTGAAGCCCTGGTTAACTTAGCTTTGAGGCAAAAGCAGGCACCTTGAAGGTGTCACTAGGAAAGCAATAGGTGTGGTACCGAAGTGCATAGGCTCAGCCCCGACTTTCCAGGCTGTTCCTGTGGGAATTGAACAGTGTGGAGGGACAGACAGTGTTTCCCTTCTTCCTCCTAGGTTCATTGACTGCTCTAATAATTAAATTGACATAAGACAGGCTGAAAGGAGAGAAACAAATTTAATCACACATGTACAGTAGGCTCGTAACAACAAGATTCAAAGACAGTCGAGCATCCTGAGCTGAGGAGAAGGGGATAGGGGGCTGGAGCTTGGGGGGGGGGCGGGGGGGCGGAGGGAAGGCCTTACTCAGGAAGAGGTGCAGAGCAAAGGTTTGCCGTGTCACGCAGATGGGCATTTATGATGTAAAAATTGTCTCTGGAAATAGCTTTTTTCCTGGTACAGGGAGTTAAGGGCGAGGGTAGAAGCTTTCCCTGAGTCTGCCGGGTCTTTCAGCTCAAAAGAATCCACATGTCCACCTCAATTGCTTTGTCTTTTTTTTTTTTTTTAAGATTTATTTATTCGTACAGAACTGGGGTACAGGCCAGAGATGTGGAGGGTGAGAGGATTCACCAGAGACAGAGTGGGGAGCAAAACAGGCAGATCGACGAAGTATACTGCTGAGGGGAGCAGCAGGCAGGTCAGGAGAGGTCTGCCACACCATGTGGTCACCTCCGGGGGAGGTGGGAATTGAACTCATGTGGAAGTGGTTCAAGCTCCTTTGTGCTGTGCTTTAACCCGCTGCACCACCAGGGAGGGCCCTGCTTTGTCTTTTGGTGTCCTCATGAATAAAGAGGTTTTGATGGTAGGAGGGTGATTCGGTGTGGACATAAGGAAGATAATACACAAGCCTGCCAATGTTCTCACTCATGCTGAGAACTCAACTGAGTATTCAAATTAGCCTGCAACCGAAAGAGAGGGGGTGGGGCAGGGGCCAGCATGCTGAGTGGCCTGGGGTGAGTGACCGACCCTCTCTGGGCTGCAGCTTTGGCCAGCTGGGAGATGAGGTGTCTGGATGATGATGTGTCACATTTTTTTGTCTCCCACATTGAGACCTGTGGTGGTGTCGTTGTGTACCTGAGACCTGTACCTCAGAGTCTGGGCGTCTGGTACCCCTCAAGAATGGCCGCAGTTCTTTTCCTTCCCTACCCAATGATTAAATGTTCACATTAAAAAATCAGCTCATCTCATGACTTTCTGAGACTCAGAAAAAGAACCCTGTGCCCGTGAAGAAGTCTGGCCTTGACGTATGCTCCGTGCTTTTACCGAGATCAAAGAGCAGACTAAGACCTTAGGGCCACCTTTGCAGTCCCGCACGTTACCGAAAAGTGGGTGGGGGGTATGTGTGGGTTTACTCTCCCAGCTTAACACGAAATGAATCTTGTGTGTGTGGTTCTGGATCCTGAAGTCGTTTTCCTTCCAGGGCCTAATTCTGGGGCTCCCTCCCTGGCCCAGGCACACCTGGGGCTGCAGCTGCCTGTCAACCCAGAGTAGGGGCAGATCACCAAGGCCCCAGATATGTATCGGTAAAATAAATAAGAAATAAATTAGTGTATGCAGACCTGAATTTATAGCGGTCTCTCCTCAGCTTAAGTGACTGCAGGGCAGTGTTGAGTAAATTATGCATGGGCTGAGATCTGAGGCTTGAATACAGAATCAGCTGTGTTCTTCTCATTGTTATTTTTCTCCTTGTGTACTTGGGGGTGGGGGGTGCGGTGGGGAGTGAGGTGGAGGTTTGTCCTTCTGTTGCAAATAACAACAGCAAGTAAAATCTACAGCAAGGGCAGTGATGCATTTTGACTTAGAGACTGTGCAGTCAAAGGCAGCCCCCTGCAGCCGCCCAGGGTACCAAGCACACTTGGATGTGTGTCCTGATTTCCCTTGAACTCCCACGGAGACCACAGGCAAGCTTGCAGCCTCACTGGCCCTCTGACCTCCACTGTCCTCCTATCTAAAATTCAGTTTCTACCTGAATATGGTGTCCCTTGGGAAGAGTGCAAAATCCCTAATGCTCATTATACCTTTAAGGTCAAGTCATGTTAAAAAGGTCAGAGGTAGCAATGTGCTCACCCCTCCTTGCCTTGTGCCTTGAGTAAACTACCTGGTGCTTTCTTGCCCCAGTTTCCTCATCTGTAAGGTGGGGATATTGATGTGTTTCTCTAGGGAGTTGTTAGAAGGACTCAAGTTCCCCCATTAATTACGATGTCACATAGGTTAATATTTGTAAAGAGCTTGGAAACCGCACTCTGTGCAGGACTAGCGCTTTCTGTTTTTGTTAATTAAAACGAGGGATCCCAGTAACAGTAGTTCCCTCTCACTTACTTCACTAGTGGGTTCATGAGATGGGAGAAAGTCACCTTCTCCCAGAGAGGGACTCTGAAAGTCTTAAGTAAGATTGGGTGGGGACCCTCCCTGGTGGTTCAATGGGTTAAAGTCCAGCCACCTTAAGAGTTCAATCCCTGACCAGGGAGGTGACCCACATGGCCAACAGACCTCTCCTGTCTCACCTGCTGCTCCCCTCAGCAGTGTATTTCAGTACTATTGAACACTGCCTTTTCTGCTTCCCGCTGTCTCTGGTGAATCCTCTCACCCACCGCCACTGCACCTCTGGCCTGTATCCCAGAGGGTATAATAAATAAAAAAAATCTCTTAAAAATATGATTGAGTAGATCAGAGTACATGTGGACCTCAGAAGTCCATCCAAATGATGATGAGCAGGACAAAAAAGAAAATAAAACCCAGGTCTTCCCAAACCCAATCCTGCTGGTGTTTCAGCATACTTTGAAAATTGCCTATTAATAATGCAAATGAGAATTTACTCTCACTTGTTAAAAGCAAGATAAGCAAAGCCATGAAAGCCATTAGCAGGTGCTTGTGAGAAGGTTTGTGGGGAGAAGTGGCTAGCTACTGAATTAAACCAGGGAAACATTTCCTTTGCTCAAGGGGACCTTCTCACTTGCTGAACACTCTGTGACTTTTCCAAGGGCACAGATTTAATAAACTACTTGCTACCCAGCCCATCATAACCTTATTACTTATTAGGGAGGGTGTATTATCATCCCCATTTACTATCCGGACAACCAGCCACAGAGTAGTTCAATCACTTGCCTGGGGTCACACAGCTGGGAAGTGCTGACCTCACCTCTGGATTCAAACCCAGGCCATGTGACTCCACCTGTCAACCAAGGTGTCTCTCCTGGCCATGGGATCTTGGGCAAATCTTGGGCAAATCTCTAAATTGAACTTTTTTTTTTTTTTATGTAGCCTCAGTTGTGCTTGATGCACCTTTTGAGGATGAAATGAAATTATACATGCATGGAGCTAACACATAGACACACCCAGTGAACAGTCATTAGAATGAGCCTATAGACTTATCACCATCCCCTTTAATCATTAATGTGTGTGTTGTTACCGCTCTGTCTCCAGCACCCAAAACAGTGCCTGGCACATAGTAGGTGCTCAGTTAGTAACTGTTGCATAAAGTTCCTCAATTTGCATGACTAAGAAAGCTGTTCCCAGTTTGAACTTCCCAGCTGTATTTCCAGAATCAGTTCTGACATTTTCCGTCTGCCTGTCCTCTCCTTCTTCCCTGTACCCTTTTTGCCCCCCCTCAATTTGTCAATGACCCATTAGCTTGCACAGCTGTGTTTCACATTTAAGTCTCCCTGTAGGCATCCCCTTCTCCAGGAACTCTTCTCTGAGCCCCATGGGGTGCAGGAGTAAGATGTGCAGTTACCTAGAAACTAGGTAATATAATAATACTTCATCCTTTCAAGTGGGTTCTATTTAATATTGGCTCAATATTTATGAAGTAGGGTACGGCATGCATATAAAGACTGCTCCTTGTTTTAGTTTGTATCTTTGCACTTCTACCCACAGGGCTCACTTTAGCCTCAAATTCTAATTTATCCCAGTGGTATCTTGACACCACTTGCGGACTGCACTTCTGTCTGACTGCCCTGATTGCCAGTCCCGAGTTTAGGCCAAGATCCCGCCAAACTGAGTAAAGCACTTCTTCTCTGGCATCAAACCACCCTCGTCACCCCCGGAAATGAAGTTACCACTTCGCCCTGATCTGTTGACTTATGTCTGCCCTTCTGGTCACTCTGTGAACTCCTCAAGAGCAGAGACTGGCTCCAAGTCCCTTCTGTCCCTGTTGTCACTCCCCGTTGCTTGGCCCAACCGTTTCTTCAACACTTTTATTGTTAAATCCAGGGATTCAGCTACTAAGGATGCGTTGCACCTACTCTGTCTGATCTTTTGTGGGGTGCTATGGGTCTGAAGAGCATTGAAGACCATCCCTGAGCCAGCAGAACTAGAGGGGACACTGAGCACAGGCACTCAGCCTCTCTCAGTTCTGGCTGATTTAATAGCACACAGGTCCCGGCCCAGTGAAGCTGAGGTGTGTGATGGTCATGAGCTCCCAGGCTGAAGAACTTCGACTGAATCTTAAAGGGGAGTGAGCATTGCCTCCCATGAAGACCTTGGCAAGTTACCTAGCAACCAAGTTTGTTTCATTTGTGTGCCTGCGATGTATGCAATGTATGCTTCCAAGGAAACGTAGTATTAGCCACATAAATCCAACCTATAAAGAAATGGGTGATACAAAGATTGTACTGAT